CATCCAGCTCTACACCTTTTTATCTCAGACTTTCCAGCATCTGCAGTTCCTACTATCTCTAAAAGGATGGATCTGGACAGAATACCACGCACTGACCTGGACTTCAGAAAAGAAAACGACACACTCAGTTCTGTCAACCCTGAGAAGGTCTCCTTCCTAACATCTGAGAGCTTGTGATATCATTTATAGAGCTTTGCCACAGACTACAAAGAAAGGAGGAGACCATTCAACCCACTAAATCTCCCTCCATTCTATTTCATGCCTGACCATCTCCTCAATGCACTTCTAATGCACTATCTACATAGCCCTTAATGACATTAGTCATAGAAACATATAAAATAGGTGTTGGAGTAGGTCATTCAATATAATGATGGCTGATCCTGTATTCCACACCATACTCCTGCTCGCTCCCCAACTCTAGAAATCCATCTATTTTGTTCTTGTTTACATTCACTTGGCCTCCACAATCTTATGTGATAGAAAATTCCCTAAGTTCATCAGACCCTGAGTAAAGAAATTACTACAGATCTCAGTACAAAGTGGCCTGTCCTGCACCCTAAGACTGTGATCCCTCGCTTCAGAAACATCATCACTGCATCCAGTCTGTCCAGCCCTGTAAGAGATTTATATGTTTCACTGAGATCCCCTCTCATTCTTCTAAACTCCACTGAATACAGGTCCAGACTACCCAATTTCTGCTCATACAACAAACCCGCCAGCCCAGGATCAGTCAATCATCCTTCGCTGCATTTCCTCTGTAATGAGGATATTCTTTAATAGGTAAGGAAACAAAACCTACACACAATACTCCAGAAGCCCCTTGCCATTTGTGGAACATGCCAATATCCCTTTGACAAGTCTTTTCATAATAAACTGTTCAAGCCCAATCTTCTCAATACAATCCTCCAATTGTGAAGACAGATATGAGTCTGCTCATGCATGCGGACTGTGCAATAAACCATCCACAGCCATTGTGATACATGTGGTTTCAGCACTATCACAACGGGTTAGCTCCAGTTACTGTGACTCGATTCAGTAATGTCATTGTCAATCATGGCACGACGCACTGGAATCGCATGCTGGAAAATAAACCCCGTTATTCCATAAGTCATCACAACAGTTAAGATTTATAAAGTAGGCCAAATGACCAAATTTGCCTTCATTGGTCAGAACATTGAGGATAGGAGCTGGGACATCGTATTGGGGCTGTACAGACCACTGGTGAAGCCACATTCAGAATACTGCATTCTGATCATTCTTCTAGAGGAAGGATCTTGTGAAACTTGAACGGATGCAGAAAAGATTTACAAGGATATTGCCAGGACTGGAAGGTTTGAACTCTAGGGAAAGTCTGTAAAACCTGAGGCTTTTTTCCTGGAGGGTTGGAGGCTGAGAGGTGACCTTATAAAGATTTATAAAATCATGAGGAGCATAGATAGGGTGAATATTTTTAAGGTGAGAGGGTAAAGTTTTAAAAAAAGGACCTGAGGGGCAACTTTTTCACACAGACGATGGTGCGTGTATGGAATGAGGTGCCAGAGTGGTGGAGACAGGTGCAATCACAACATTTAAAAGGCATCTGATGGGTATATGAATAGGAAGGGTTTAGAGGGATATGGGCCAGATTCTGGCAAATGGGACTAGGTCAGATTGGGGTGTCTGGTCAGTATGGACAGGTTGGACCGAAGAGTCTGTTTCCATGTTGTATGACTTTAATTCACCCGATTTGCAGACCCAGGTTGATCAAGGTACGTATCAAGAGTTACTATTTATTACAAATAATTAGACTCTAGCTAGAAATAAACAGTTATTACCCTCAGCATATGACACTACTAATAAAAGCTCTAATCCACTTCTAAATTCCCCCTCATACAGACAAGAGAGACATTGATAGGAATAAAAATATAAAAGGAATGGGACAGCAAAACTGGAAATGCAGTTCAGCAGTCTTTTTTTAAAAAAAAGATCCGTTGAGCTGGTTCTTGCTGACCAGAAGGTTTCTTCTTGGTTTTCCTTTTCCAAATGCTTCCACTGGTTTGAAAGAGGCACAAGGTGACAGGTTCTGTAATAGAAAGTTTTTGTCTTACTGCGTAAATGTTACAGCCTACAACAACCACTGAAGGATAGATAAACTGGCATTCTTTGGGTTTAAAGGGGTTTTGACTGCAGAGAACAGAGAGACAGCTCCTGAGCTGGAGGATAACTGATCACTTCTCTGTATCTTGTGCCCAATCCCAAGCTGCTCAGTTACAAGACAGCCAATCACATAGCTGTAGGCAGGCAAAACACCATCGTCATCAATAATGAGTCACTAGTCTTCAGCCGGATAACACTCTTGATGCCAAACAAAGCTCCATCTGTAAACAATCTCTCAGCTCCAGTTTGTCTACAAACACATCAATTACTGCCTATTCAAACAGCTGTGACCGCCAGCCAGGTTACTTGCTTTTCAAAACTTGCAGCAATCATTGCAAAATCCTGATTTTAAATAGTTGTAATTTGTGACACAAACACAAAAATAAAAGATATGGACTTTACAATCATGAACCTAACCTCTTCCCTCGTGGGCTAACTTCTCTATATTGACTCTGTAACAGTATGATCGCACATCCCTTGTATTAACATGGCTAAAGATATTTTCCCTGACCTATTTACTGAAATCAACTTATAACTCTCATAAGAGCTTGAGGCACTTGATATATTTAGGTGCGATAGCATATTATTCTATCTAATTTTTCAGCACCTCCTATTATTCAATCTGATTACAGAAGGTTGACATTGAAATTTTCAATTTCTGATTCAGTCTGAAATTATTTCAATATTTTTGTTTCATTTTCTACTCCTTCTACCACTATAAATACAATCCTCCTTCTTATAACATCGTTTCAATATATTGACATGACAGATTTGCTGATTTTTCCTCCTGTCTGGATTCACAGCATTGAGTTTCTTTTTGATTGGGTAAGGCCATGTCTCTAAGAACAAACTTTCAAACTTTGATTTCTGAAGAAGGGTCTAGGCCCGAAACGTCAGCCTTCCTGCTCCTCTGATGCTGCTTGGCCTGCTGTATTCATCCAGCTCTACACCTTGTTATTTCAAACTTTGGTCTTTCTTTATGCTCAAGTTTTCATTGTTTGTTGGGTAATCTTCAGATATTTTTTGGACAACTCGCACATTTTAGTTTTATTTGGAAACTTGACACATAGTAAAGTTTCTGAACATTTATTTTCTTGAACACTTAAGGGGTCCTCTCACCTCATGCCCGTACATCAATTCAACAGGACTGAATCTTGTGGACTTTTTAGGGACATGCCTAATGGAAAACAGCAAAAAGAAATTCCTTCATTCCAATCAAATTCCTGAGAATAAACTCTCATCATGATCTTTAAAGTTTGATGTCATTTTTCGAATGATCCTTAACACTGTGGATGATAAGCTGAAGGTGTATCACTCTCAAAACCCAGAAACACAAAAATGAAACTAAAACAATGTTTTAGCCCCCTTTACACACAAAATACATGAATAAATATAAATCATGTTTTCAAGCTTAACTCATTTCTTCACTTTAGAACTCAAGTTTATAATAACAATAATAAGGATATACTGTCAGCCTTACTACCACAACAGCAAATTCATGGTTGGATATGATGGGAGAGGGTTAAGTGTGGAACTCAAAGACTGGCACAGTCCAGTTGTCCAAATGACTTGTTTCTGTCTTATACATTCTCTCCAATCATTAGGCTTTAGTAAACGAATAAAAAACCCATGGTTTTGTTCTGGTCCTCCTGAAATAATAAAATAATTCATAATAACGTTTTCACAATAACTCTAACTCTCACAGAAAGGTTGCTACTTACTCTGGGCGAGAGCCAGCTACAGTCAATTGTGCAAAGTTTTTCACCTTTTCTCGAATAACCTGGATACCACGTTCATCAGAGGCATTTAGTTCAAGAATTCTCTTCCGGTACAACTCCGGTCTGCAAAGGTTGCACAGCATTAATGTCAGTATATCAGATGAAATAAGGTCAAGCTGTTGGTAAGCCACATTCCTGCAGGTTAAGCATTTCCTACAAGTTACAAACCTAATGCTGCTTTTGAAGAAACAGATTTTAAAGAACTTCAGTTTTTTTTTGCTGGGAAGAGGACAAATTAATGGGGTTATATGCATTTCAACAAGTCATTGAGCACTGTAGATATCGTGGATTTCTAAGCAGCTGTCAAAGGGGTCACGAAATTGGTGTAGCGCATCTTGCAGATGGTTCACACTACTGTTACCAGTTGTCATTGATGAAGGAAACAGAAGTTTAAGCTGTTGGACAAGGTGCCACTTAAGCAGCTACTTTGCACTTCAGGGTGCCAACTGTCTCGAGTGTTGCTGGAGCTACACTTGTCTTGGCAGGTCCTGACTTGTGCATCATGTGCAGTGGAAAAGCTTTTGGAATTTAAGAGGTGAGGTATCCACCATAAAAAATATCCAGTCTCTAACACCCTTTTAGCCAGTGTTAAAACAACTGGTCCAGTGAGGTTTCTACTCAATGGTGGGCCAACCCTCCCGATCCCAGAATGTTGATGGTTAAGGTAATTTAGAGATGGTAACTGCGGCACAAGACATTTGAAAACTGTTTCTTTTCTGCTGAATCCAATTTGAACTCTACTCAGAGTAAGAACTGCAGATGCTGGTGTCACAGATAACAGCAGTGTGGAGCTAAAGGAACACAGCAGGCCAGGCAGCATCAGACGAGCAGGAAAGTTGATGTTTTGGGTTGGGACCCTTCTTCAGAAATGGGGGAGGGGGGAGGGAGCTCTGAAATAGAGGGAAGAGGGGTGGGGCTGGGGAAGGTAGGTGGGATGGTGATAGGTGAGTGCAGGTAGGGAGTGGTGGGAATTGGTCAGTGAGGTGGGAGGTGGAGATAGGTGGGACGGATGATGGACAGGTTGTGTCAGGTCAAGGAGGCAGGGATGAGAGGGAGGGTTGGTCATGGGATGAGGCCAGAGGAGGGGAGATTTTAAAACTAGTGAATTCCACGTTTAGGCCATTGGGTTGTAGGCTCCCGAGGCGGAATATGAGGTGCTGCTCCTGCAGTTTGCGGGTGGTGTCATTGTGACACTGGAGGCGGCACAGGATGGACATGTCAACCAGGAAGCGGGGAGGGGTAGTTGAAATGGTTCGCAACCAGAAGGTGTTGTCGTTTGTCGCAGACAGAATGCAGGTGCTCTACAAAACAGTCTCTGAGCCTCCGCTTGGTCTCACATACGTAAAGGAGGCCACATGCACATCCGTCAATGAGGTCTATTGCATCCCCTACTCCTGATGTGCCCTCCCCTACATCAGTGAGGCCAAGCAGAGGCTCAGAGACCGTTTTGTAGAGCACCTGCGCTCTGTTCGCAACAAACGACAACACCTCCTGGTCGCGAATCATTTCAGGGAGGTGATGGCTAGTGGTATTATCACTTGACTGTTAATCCAGAGACCCAGATAACATTCTGGAATCCTGCCACGGCAGACAGTGGAATTTGAATTCAATAAAATATCTGGAATTAAGAATCTAATGATGACCATGAATCCATTGTCGATTGTCAGGAAAAACCCATCTGGTTCACTAATGTCCTTTAGGGAAGGAAACTGCCATCCTTACCTGATCTGGTCTACATGCGACTCCAGACCCACAGCAATGTGGTTGACTCTGAACTGCCCGTGGGCAATTAGGGATGGGCAATAAATGCTGCCTGGCCAGCGACACCCTCATCCCGTTAATGAATAAAGAAAATAAAACAAATCTCCACCTCCCACTCCATGGGTAACATGACCATCCTGGGCCTCCTCTAGTGTCACAATGACATTACACGCAAACTGGAGGCGCAGCACCTCATATTTCGCCTCGGGAGCCTACAGCACGATGGCCAAAATGTGGATTTTACCAGTTTCAAATCTCCCCACCCCCTGCCTCATCCCATGACCAACCCACCCTCTCATCCCCACCTCCTTGACCTAACACAACCTGTCCATCTCTCCCACCTATCCACTCCTCCCTACTACTCACTGACCAATCCCCACTACTCCCTAACTGCACTCACCTATCACCATCCCACCTACCTTCCCCAGCCCCACCCCTTCTCTCTCTATTTCAGAGCTCCCTTCCCCCTCCCCCATTTCTGAAGGGTCCCAACCCGAAATGTTGACATTCCTGCTCCTCTGACGCTGCCCGGCCTGCTGTGTTCCTCCAGCTCCACACTGTGTTATCTTGAACTCTACACTATTTTTTTTAAACAAGTTCAATGCCAGCTTACCCAAAAAGTTCCCTCGCTGCAGCGAGTATTGTAGAAGTTTTTCCTGTGCCAGGAGGTCCATAAAAAAGCAAATTAGGAAGCTGCAAAAGAAAGCAAAAGCATTTTGCAAAATAAATCTACAAGAATATCTTCACTTAAACCAGACACTAACTTACGAATGTATGATTTAGGAGAAGTATGCCAATCAGTTTTTCAAACCTGCTCCCCATTCAGTAAGATCACAGCTGTATGTTTGTGTTTTAAATTCCATGTTTCTATCTAACCCAATGATCTTTGATTCTCTCGCCTAATGAGAATCTATCCACCTGTGTTTGAAAATATTCTGAGGCAGAGTTCCAAAGTTGCACAACGCCCAGAACAGAAAAAAAACTGAAAGAACAGCGGACGCTGGAAAAAGGAACAAAAATAGAAATTGCTGGAAAAGCTCACCGGGTGTGGCAGCATTTGTGGATAGAAATCAAAGTTAACTTTTCGGATCCAGTGTCTCTTCCTCACTTGTTTTTGTTGCCCCAGAAAAAAATTCCCCTCATCTCACTCCTAAAAGGGCAGCCTCTAATTTTAAAACAGCAGGCATTTATTAGAACATCATCCTTTCTTCTTCAAGCTGTGATAGGATAGAACAAAACATCTTCTCTGAGAGCACTCACAATTGCTATAGGGAGGAGGTTGTGAAATTTGGAAGAGCTCAGAAAAGGTTTACAAGGATGTTGCTGGAGTTGGAACATTTGAGCTACAGGGAGAGGCTGGATAGGCTGGGGCTATTTTCCCTGAAACATCAGAGGCTGAGGGGAGACCTTATAGAGGTTTATAAAGTCATGAGGGGCATGGATAGGTTGAATAGTCAAGGTCTTTTCCCCAGAGTCGGGGAGTCCACAACTAGAGGGCATAGGTTTAAGGTGAAAGGGGTAAGATTTAAAAGGGACCCAAAAGGCAACTTTTTCATGCAGAGGGTGGTGCATGTATGGAATGAACTGCCAGAGGAAGTGGTGAAGGCTGGTACAATTACAACATTTAAAAGCCATCTGTTTAGGTATATGAATAGGAAGGGTTTAGAGGGATATGGGTCAAATGCTGGCAAATGGGATTAGATTAATTTAGGATATCTGGTCAGCGTGGATGAGTTGGACTGAAGAGTCCGTTTCTGTGCCATACATCTCTATGATTCTATGCAGGATAATCTCAGCTCAGACCCTAAGACGTACAAATGCCCTGAACTTTACACAACCAAACAATCTCAAACTATCCCTTTGGTAATTTGACTCACCATGGAGTGTTCAGAACAGCTTGGCTTGTGGTTGCCTCTCACCTACACTGACTGCGTTAAAATCAAGATATCGTGGCCCTAATGGAGTTACAATAGGTCTCTAGGTGCCTCTGTGCTGGGAGGGAAAATCAGCCCAATTTCTGCTACCTGCTAGCCAGTGATGAAGAAGACTGTGCATACAGTCAGTGAGCACTGATACGCTGGGCCAATATATACCTACCACCCCAACTGATTAACAGCCTGTCACCTGTGGGTTAGTCTCTCACACTTAAAGTGACCATTTAAAACTGCCAAATATTGGTTGCAGAACTGGGCATCACAAACAGAAAAAGGCCTGTCCTTAGCTCTGAGATTGGGAAAGCACCATCACTCAAAAGATTAAAAAAAAGAAGAGATTAGACAGACAGCATTAATGTTGAGGACCAAAACTGCACAGGTTTGGTCTCACTCTCACTCTGTACAATAGCAGCAAGACATCCCTGCTCCTTTGGTCCAATCCTCTGGCTATGAAGGCCAACGTCCCATTTGCCTTCTTCACCACCTGTTGAACCTGTATGCTCACTTTCAGTGACTGGTGTACAAGTCTCGTTGCACCTCCCACTTTCTCAATCTATCGCTATTCAGACAATAATCTGCCTTCCTGGTCTTGTTCCCAAAGTGGATAACCTCACATTTATCCACATTATACTGTGTCAGCCCTATATGTGTCCACTTACTCAGCCTGTCCAAATCACACTGAAGCATCTCGGCATCCTGCTCACCGCTCACCCTCCCACCTAGCTTGGTGTTATTTGCAAATTGGAGATATTACATTTAGTTCCCTCATCTAAATCATCGATATATATTATGAATAGATTTCACAATTTAATTCTGAAAGAACTGTAATTTAAGGAACAGGAGCAGCATTACTTTTTTTTATTGTAATACATCTGTCTGCCATCTAAAAAAGATATTGAACTGGGAATTAATAAGTACTTGCAGTGGGTTTGACACTCACATCAGCTCCTTCAAGTGACTTCTTTAGCACAGCCACAACTTCCTCCTGAAATGCCACTTCAGAGACACATTTTGGACGGCTGCAGGCAAAGAACAATAAACCAGACAGATTGAGGGGAAATCTCAGTTCAAACACACAAATTTGTTTTGTACAAATTGCATCCATCTCCCAAATCACAAAAGGAAATTAGTTAGTAATTCTCATCCATTGTGATACAATGAAGGATAACACAAATAGTCTCTTTTCAGGTGTGAAGCAGTCAGTCACGTGTTCAGCATTCCTGCTTTACTCACTTTACCTCAAGAGAATTTTCCATTATCCTTCAAAGCAACCCACTGGATTTTGACAGGGTGCACAGGCAACTCATTTTTAAAAGGCTAAGAAATTGCTCAGACCATTGAGTATAGGAGTTGGGATGTCATTTTTAGGTTGTGCAGGATATTGGTGAGGCCTCTTCTGGAGCACTGTGTACAGGTCTGGTCACTCTGCTGTAGGAAGGGTATTATTATACTGGAGAGGGTTCAGGAAAGAATTACCAGGATGTTGTTGTGGATCGAGGGTTTGAGATTTAAAAATAGATTTTTTCACATGAGTGTAGGAGGTTGAAGGGTCACCTTATGGAAGTTTATAAAATCATGAGGGGAATAAATAAGGTGAATGACAAGGGTCTTTTCCTCAGGGTTGGGGGGGGTTCAAAATTAGGAGGCATATTTTTAAGGTGAGAGTAGGAAGATTTAAAAAGTATGTGATGGGCAACTTTTTTTTTTTAAACACAGAGTGTGGAATGAATTGCCAGAGGAAGTGGTGGATGCAGGTACAGTTACAACATTTAAAAGACATTTGAGTAAGTTCAGGATTAGGAAGGGTTTGGAGGGATATGGGCCAAATGCAGGCAGATGGGACTAGTTTAGTTTGGGAACATGGCTGGTGTGGATTGGTTGGAACGATGGGTTTGTTCCCATGTTGCATGGCTCAATGAATGCTGAACAGACATTTTAATTCAGATGATAGTGTGTTAATTAAAATGAAATAGGCACTTAAAAAAAAATTCACAATTATCATAATCAATTTCATAACACTGGCTATTGTAAAGGTTTTGACGTTGTGATTTTTGGAAACTATTCTTGTCCAGAATTACCCAAGGTCATTTAAAGTTTTTGAGAAGATTTGTAGCTCGGGTTGTAGACTTGCTCACCGAGCCAGTGTGTTTGATTGCAGATGTTTCGTCACCCTGCTGGGTAACATCGTCAGTGCGTCTCCGGTGTAACATTGGTATTCTGTCCTCCTTGTTACTTATATGCCACGGTTTACTGGGGTGATTGGCATCTCTTCCGACCAACCATCCCAGCAAACTGAGGCATATAAATAACAAGCAGGACAGAACACCAACGCTTCACCGGAGGCGCACTGACGATGTTACCCAGCAGGGTGACCAAACGTCTGCAATCAAGCCCACCGGTTCGGCGAGTGAGTCTACAACCTCACCTAAGGTCATTCTCATGCGAAATGTCAACTTTGCATCATTCACATGTAAACTTTTGTTTTGGTGCTGGACATCAAAAAGTCAAAAAACAAAATGACAGAAAGCATGCATGTGTTTTGTAATCCACACAACAGGTTCCCATGTTGACCACTGTCAGGGCCAGTTACTGAGCAGAAACCAAGCACTTGATCTTATTATGCACACCTCTCGAAACTCTGAGCTTGGCATCTGACTGCAGGCAATCCCCCTACTTTCTGACCTAGAGCAGTGTGTGAGCCAAGAGAAAAGAAGAAAGAAAACTACGAACTCCTGAAGCAAAAGCTGAGAGATTTCCAGTGATTTAATACATGGCATATTCTAGAAGACTAGATAACAGTTAAGATCTCTACAGGCTGGGGAAGCAACTTGTGAAGGTTTGCATCTAACTTTCTCATCATGACAAAAAAGAAGACAATCACATGAAACTATAACAACTGTACGATTACAAACCACATGCACAAAAACCGAGCAAAGATTTCTAATCTTCCACATAATCCTGAAAGAAAAGGACACATGATACTACACAAAGCATCATTTGGAGTTAGTTTCTTACTATTTCTCCACCCATGGAACTGGTTTTTGCTTTTTGTTCTCTCCACTGGTTCCTGCTGCAGCTTTTTCTTTCACTGGTTTAGAGCTGATCACTCCAGGTCCTTTTAAAAATGCTTGCATCTTTCACCTTCCAATACAAATTGCAAATATTAAATGTATGAGATTTTTTAGGGACAAAAGGAATGAAGATGCAAAAAAAAATCTTGACCGACAGCAGTAACACTGAAGCCAGAGGCTGTAAATCACAAGGATATGATGACAGGTTGAACTTCGGTTCAATATGTTCAATTCCCAGTTGAATACACGGGACATAGCTGTATGCATGTGAGTTGCTGTGTTTTGCCTACAGGCCACCTGTAAGTACATCTCAAAACAAACTCCTTGAGGAGGTTCAATATTTTGAAAGCATTCTTTTTCTTCTCACAAATAATACATACATCATGTTGTAACAAATTATATATCTTCAATTTTGCATCCCCTCCAGCCATTCATGAATTCCTAACTGAAGGATGTGCAAACAAACCATGATCCTTGAGATAACAAGGTATAGAGCTGGATGAACACAGCAGGCCAAGCAGCATCATAGGAGCAGGAAGGCTGACGTTTCGGGCCTAGACCCTTCATGAGAAATGGGGGAGGGGAAGAGGAACAATGATCCTTGCTCAGCATAGCTCTGACATCCTGCACTTGCTCATCTGTCCAGTTTTCCCAACCTTGGGGTGTCTGATTGTTAACTGCCATGGAAAAGTTTAAGTAGCATTATAATTACATTATTGGTCTAACAGTCTAAAGATCAGAAATCACAACACACCAGGTTACAGCCCAACGGGTTTATTTGAAATCACAAGCTTTTGGAGCACTTCACCTGAGGGAGGAGCGGCGCTCTGTTCAGAGACGCTCACAGACAGGGACCCTCACCCTCATACACAGACAGACAGACAGACAGACAGACAGTGACCCTCACCCTCATACACAGACAGACAGACAGACAGACAGGGACCCTCACCCTCACCCTCATACGCAGACAGACAGGGACCCTCACCCTCACCCTCATACACAGACAGACAGACAGGGACCCTCACCCTCACCCTCACACACAGACAGACAGACAGGGACCCTCACCCTCACCCTCATACACAGACAGCCAGACAGACAGGGACCCTCACCCTCACCCTCATACACAGACAGCCAGACAGACAGGGACCCTCACCCTCACCCTCATACACAGACAGACAGACAGACAGGGACCCTCACCCTCACCCTCATACACAGACAGACAGACAGGGACCCTCACCCTCACCCTCATACACAGACAGACAGACAGACAGACAGGGACCCTCACCCTCACCCTCATACACAGACAGACAGACAGACAGGGACCCTCACCCTCATACACAGACAGACAGACAGACATACAGGGACCCTCACCCTCACCCTCATACACAGACAGACAGGGACCCT